AATGTTACCAACTTCAATATTCTAGTATAGTGTAAGGAAGAAATGAAATCCAGCTAGCTGGTATTTAAAACTCTTACTAAGCGGAAGATTAAGATATATTAACAGAGAAGATAAAAACAGGCACTGATAGCTCAGTTGGTAAAAACTTGTAACTGACAGGAGGTTACAGTATCAATGCCTAGTAGGAGAAATCTATTATATAGAAATTACGGCAACTTAATATTAATTCTTTTAACCTAAAATCAAGTCATTCAAATCATAATTATTATTTCCACAGGCTATCTTGAACCTTCAGATGATGATAATACAGAAAGTTATCTTGAAGATCTGTCTTCAGATGATGATAAATCTGATGATGTTGAATCAGAAATTTATCTTCCAGATACATCTACAGAGGATGATTCGGATACAGAAAGCGATTGAGTTTATTAAAAGAAAACAAGATGTTTGAGGGATCGTTATGATTTTTAAAGTGATTAGTAGATAAAAAAACATGAGAAATTCTTTCCTTAACTTGATTAAAAATTTTTTCGGTCTTTTATTATTCATCTGTATTTCAAAATTATTGAGTAAACTAAAAGTGGTGAATCTCTAAGATATTGAAAGAGCATTTCTTCGCCAGTTTTTTCTGAAGATTTGGAAAAATTTTAAAAAATTATAAAAAATTTAATGTACATATATAGATTTATATAGCTAAACTGGTATATCATGTCTTCCAATCTGAAACGTTGTGATTCATTCATAATATGTACATTTAAATACATTAAATTTATTTAATTCATTAATTTGTGCAATCTTACACAATATTAAATACTTATAAAACTATAAATATTTTTTAAACTAGTAATATATTTTGTTATTAGCTATTTTAATTAATCATCATACATAATTTATAAAAAATATTTTATAATTTATTTTTATGAATCTAAAATAACTTAATTTCTAATTAATTTTCTTTCTACTTTTTATTTAAAAAGAATTATTCAATTAATTTAAAAATTTATTTTCATTATTTAAATATGAAAATTTCTTTTATGTTATTATTTGAAATATTTATTTTGCTTAATTTTATGGTAGTTATTTTGTATTTGCAGTAGAGCTAGGCACGGGACGGGACCCCGTACGGGATTTTACGGGATCCCGTCCCGGATTTTTAGCGACAAACGGGATTTACGGGATACCCGCGGCATCCCGTCCCGTTCAAAATTTTTAAACTCAATCATGTTTGTAGTGAATAGTAGTGATGTTCGAGATTCTCGGTCTCAGTTCCCGAGTCGAGAAACTTCGGCACCAATTTCTCTCTCTCTCTCGGAACCGAAACCTGGGCACCGTTTTTCCAAGTGATATCCCTCCTAATCAAGTGATATCCCTCCTAATCACTCGGTCTCGAATCTAGGTTTCAGGGTTGATTCATGGTCTCGACTCTAAGCTTTTTTTAACTCCCAAACATAACTAGTAAAGGGTATAAAATATTTTTTGAAACATAGCTTTGCGAAATTTTGTAATTTAGAGCAATTTTTAAGCAGTATAATGGTAGAGGGTTGTTTTCGAGTAAACCCCAACAGACAATTTCGTTTCAATTAACTGTTCGCTGGTTAACTGAAAATTTAGTAAAGCTCACGACCCTCATCTGTGAACGTTAATAAATCGGGGAAGGAGATTATAATTCCACGCTACTTAACATTAAACATATTAGTGTCAGTTTGATTTTGATTAGGTAGGAAGCTTAATAAATACATATTACTCTAATTTATCTATTTTAGAATCCATATATTTTTTCACATGGTAGTGCATTAAAGGTAAGGAGTTGGGACGTGCCGTTTACTCCTGATATCTACTATTTTTAGATTAAGAAGAGATTTGTAAAAGTTTATCAAACTTTTGAATTAGGTGATCTAAAGTTCCCCCTCGTACTCCTCACACTCAAACGAGATAAAAAATCAGTTTCGGCACATCCCTGGTAATGAGGGTAATAATTACATACTAATCAAATTTAAACATTTTAGACATATAGAAATTTTAAATGCAATGTTAATTATGGTCCATCTATGTATTGCCAAATAGACAGATGCTATGCTATGATATCAAAAACGGTCAATTGGGACACTAGAACAACTGGCATAAAACCCTATTATTATAATGGTAATTAAATCTTACTTAAACATAAAATAACGGTGCCCTTTAGTCTCGTCAGAGGCTAGTTTCGTCAGAGGACATTTTCGTCAGAGGCCTTTTTCGTCAATGAACAGTTTCGTCAGAGGGTTGTTTCGTCAGAGATAAGTCTCGTCAGAAGGCATTTCTGTCAGTAAGGCTCCCATTTTAAAAATTAAATAAAACAGCTTTTTGACTTATACTAGGTTTTTTGTTTCTGGATCGATTTGAACAAATGAGGTGTCATTCGAAAGAGTTTTGAAAGCTGATTTTTGGAATGAAAAATTTTATTTCATAAATGATAGCTCAACCGACTCAGCTCGCATGTTGAGTAGGTTTGACGAAAAGAGCCTCCCTACATCATTTTTCAATATTCAGGAGTCTGTAACTCGGTTCCGGAATTTCGATCAACTTCTTCCACAACTTGTTCGACTCAGTTTTTGAGCTTTTCGAATGCCACCTCATTTGTTCAAATCGATCCGAAAACAAAAAACCTAGTATAAGTCAAAAAGCTGTTTTATTTGATTTTTAAAATGGGAGCCTTACTAACGGACAACCCTCTGACGAAACTAACCTCTGACGAGACTACCGGACACTACTTATATACGGTATATGTCTTAGTTTACATGGCAAATTATTATATTTAAACTTTTTCGCGTTATTCAGACCTATTCAGCCTTCATTCATAAATTCCTCAAGTTAAAATTCCCAATATTTTAAGTAATATATGGATGTGGACATTGTCCAAAAAATAGTGTTTGCGAAGAATGTAAAACAAACTTATGCAATAGTGCTAAATTAATTGATGACAATAAGTATACATTTAATAAATGTCTGGCTGACCATAATATACGGGATGCTTTGGTAGCTTGTATCCCTTATAAATGTTTTATTACAACTTGGGATGGACAGGAAGGTTTGTTAAATTATGTAAAAAAGGCAGATTTTCTGCAGTCGGAGTTTTTTAAATGCATATGTATAAGCTATTTGACTTGTTTTTGAAAGTAGCTCTTCGAGCTTAAAGTACTAAAATCTAAGAAACAAATAAGCTTTTTCTCAAATTAAACTTTTTGGCTTTATCTAAAAATAATGCCGGCTTCCAATTTTTTCTTTCCTCCTCAAATGGGAAAGAAATAGTTATTTTTCCGCTGTAGTATAGTAAATCGTTGGTAATATAACTTTGTTCAAACTTATTTAATCACGGTGATTTTGGTGTCTTTTAACTCAGTGGATCGAGATATGAGTCACCGAAAATCGAAATGAGACTAAGCCAAATTTTGGGTGAAAAATATGATTTTTTGAATGATAGAACATTCGAAAGAGCTATTTGAGCTGAGTCGAATGATTGGACCGAGATACAGACCTCTGAAAATTGAAGAACTACAGGGGCGAATTTTGGATAAAAATTCTAATATACAAGTCTTAGCTCATTCGAAAGAGCTTGTCGAACTGAGTTAAAAGACACCAAAATCACCGTGATTAAATAAGTTTGAACAAAGTTACATTACCAACGGTTTACTATACTACAGCCGAAAAATAACTTTTTTTCCCCATTCGAGGAAGAAAGGAAAAATTGCATGCTGGCATTATTTTCAGATAGAGACGACTTTTTCTTTGGTTCCAAGTCGGATAAATTTATAACGAGTAAATTTTTATATAATTACAGGTAGATATAGGGGTGGCTGTGGAAAATGTGATCCAAATAGGCATTGTTTTCATTGCGATGGCGCGAAATGTAATACAGTAGATAAATTCAAAAAAGCATTTTATTGTTATATAAAAAATAAAGAAGGAAAGATAGTACTTGGAAATGTATGCGCCGAAAAAATTTGTTACATATCCATTGATGATAAAGGTAAAATCATATGGCTTCACTCGATGTATAAGCGTCCCATCAGTGTAAATATGTCCCAAAAATAAAATACCGTATTCTATTTAATAGAATGTCACTTTCTAATAGAATGCCACATGGAGGCTGTGTGAAAAATAAATTCTAATCTCTAATTAAATGCACCATTTTTCATGATAAAAATTTTTAATTATAATAGGTAGGGTTGCACCCCGAACGCTCGGAGGCGGGTATGTCGGGGTACGGGGTTTTCAAATTGTTTCGGTTCGGGGGAGCAAAATATGATCGGGGTTTTAGGAAAAAATTTTTATAGAAAAAATGTTGAAAAATAATTTGATCTCGGTATATTTTCGTTAATTTTTTCAAAAATGAAGTAGGATTTGGAGAGATTAAAGAAGAATCTGAAAAGATTAATGGGTATATCTGGGAATATATTTTTTAGGATTTTTTCGGTTTCGGCGCTGCACACGAAATTTTTGAATTTTTAGCATTAAACTAAAAATTTATGGTTGATAATATTTAAAAATAGAATTAACCTTTTAAGATAAAATATAAATATTGCTTTTGTAAAGAAAAATAATTAAACAAGTGAGTTTTCTTTATTCAAACAAGTTTTCTTTCAAACGAGTTTCTTTTTTATTCAAACGAGTTTTCTTTTTCAAACGAGTTTTCTTTATACCCATCCGTATATGAATAGAAATATTGGATACTGGTCGAGTGCAACTCTAATAACAAGTTAATAATCTAATGCTATTTCTTTTGACTTTTTCTTATTTTTCTTGCCGTTTCGGAGTATTGTGTAAACTAAAGTGCGCATAATCGCAAATCCGAGATCCCAAAGCAGATTTACTAAAAATGTCAAATGAGATGGAATCTTGCGGAATTAATAATTTATATCCGGTAATCCATTTGAGATATTTAATCTCGCTTTGATTTCGGGATATTTAATTAACAAATTTTCGTAATAGATATATTGGATACAGTGCTTGAGAGATATCAAGGATATCGTGGATTAAAGGGATTAAATGGAATTGAGAGTGATACGTGTAAACAAGAGAAGTAAGAATGCCATAAGCAATTGAGAAGGATATCAGGGTATGAGGTTTTATGGGAGATAGAGAAATTTGGGGTTGGCTTAGCCTGGGTGTAGAGAAATTTAGGATTAATCTTAGATGTGGAGGAATGGCAATTTTAAGGAATGGCAAGCAATATGAAGGAACGGCAAGCCAATTCCTTAATTCCTTAAAACACGTAATATCACCCCGGCTGTTTATTCTACATTAATCATTCAGCATCTCTACCAGGGCTTCTTAACCACTGAATCTCCCTCCTCTACAATCATCGATACCACATTAATAGTCCTTAATGAACCCTCTTTATACCTTAAAATAAACCGATATATCATTTAATCTCTCAAAATCCTATTTAATCTTTCGCTTTTTCAATGGCATTCTATTAGAGAGAATACGTTATGCGTCACATCAAAGTATATGCATTCCATTAGTCGATATCCCCGTTAATCGCTACTTCCATAATTACTATTAATCTCCCTATACCTAGCTATTGAAACTCAACATTACAGCACCGCATTATTACACTTATGTATATCATATGAAAGCCAATAATTTCAGTTTCGATTATTTTTACCGAAATTATTTCGATTTAAAAGAAATTTTTGTCCTGAGTCTAAACTTATGACTACCACAGTATAAATAGTAATTTTTATTTAAATACAGGTGTTCAAAATGCGGGTTGCGGTCAATGTCCCGAAGGAGATTTCATATGCTTTTACTGCAACACAAAAGAATGCAATACAAAGGACAATTATGATAAAGCTTTCAAATGCTTTGAGAGTAATGGAATGTTGACAAATAAAAAAGTAAAAAAATGCGACAATAACAAATGTTATCTAGCTTCTACGATTAGAGGTTCTTCATATATTTGTTGGGTACTTTTCAGTTATACGACCGCAAACTGGGGCCTATTCCACAAAGCGACATTGACATCAAATGTCGATGTCCAAATGTCAATCGCGATTGCGACATTGACATACGATTGTGTTCCAATAAGGAAATCAGCCTATGTCATTGTAAAATGTCGTTGTCATCTTTAAAATCTATATATATATATTTCCCAATAGCGACATAGCGTTCGTGCTGTGTCGCCAAAATCGCGACATTTCGATTGCTAGTGTCGATTGACACTAGAATTTAAAATCTTTGTGGAATACAATCGCGACATTTCGCTGTCAATGTCGCTAAAAGTAGATGTCGATGTCACAAAATAATTTTGATTTCGCTATGTGGAACACAATCGCAATCGGAATGTCAAGCGATTGCCAAATGTCGCGACATTTGATGTCAATGTCGCTTTGTGGAATGGGCCCCTGAGTGCCAGACGACTTTGATAGGCTATAACTATTTTGTGCCTGATCCAATACAAAAAATTTTATATCACTCGAAAGCCCTCTATAAGCGGTATCTTTTTCAATTTAATAGATCAGGTCTGATTGTCCATTAAAAAGTTCAAGCCGATAAGTGCAAGAAATCGTTGTTCTTCACACATATCGACTTGTAACTTTTTAATGGACAATAAGACCTGATCTACAAGTTGGAAAAAATATTGCTTATTGAGAATTTTCGAATGTTATAAAATTCATTTGTATTGGATCAAGCTTCAAAAAGTTATAGCCAATCAAATCCGTCTAGCACACAGTTTTCGGTCTTATAACTGAAAAGTACCATTTGCTGTCTATAGAGACATGTATTCTTTTGCTGACAAAAACTTTTTATAATTAAAGTAGCAGATGCGGGAGTAATGCGCGAAAATCACATAAAACAAGGTTGTGGAGATTGCCCTAAAGTGGCAGGACAATGCAAAACATGCACCAGGAATTTATGCAATGATGAAGGCTTTTACAACAGAGAAATTTATTCATGTTACAGTAATGCTGATAGAACAAAATACGATAAATGCCCTCCTGGAGAATTTAATTGTTACTATGGAGAAAATGTAAAAAGTATTTAATTCGGAAGAAAAACTTTTTATGTTTCAAGGCACAAAAAAGTGTTGCCGGATGCGGTAAATGTCCTGAAAAGGATTATGTTTGTTTTGACTGCAATACAAAAAATTGCAATAAGAAGGACAATTTCGATAAAGTATTTAGATGTTATGAAAGTAATAGGGAAATTGCACGATCGCAGGCAAGGCAATGCGATCGGAAAAAATGTTATTTTGCTTCAAGTATAGGGGGTAAATTTTTACATCAAATTGAATATTATTAACAAAAATAATTTTTAATTAAAGAAGAGGATTCTGAAGTAATACTTAAAAAACACATAAAACAAGGTTGTGGAGATTGCCCTCATGTTCCAGGACAATGCAAAACTTGTACCAAAAATTTATGCAATACTCAAAACATTTACAGGAAGGAATTTTATGCATGCCGTACTTTTGATAATAATTATGTTATATGCCCTCCTAGAACTGAAAAATGTTACTATGGAGTAAAGGTCAAAAGATTCTTTAATTTGAAAAAAAATTATTTTTTAAGCCAGGAGGTGGTTTAGCTGGATGCGGAAACTGCCCTTCCAGTGATTTAAATTGTTTTGAATGCAGCTCATCAAATTGTAATACTCAAGCTGATTTGGATAAAGCATTTCGATGTTTTACGAGTAATAATGGGAAATTTACATCTACGAATGCAAGAGAATGCCACAAGAAAAAATGCTATTTTGCTTTTAATATTAAAGGTACATATAACTAGAAAATTATATATTGTAAACTTGTAGTCATTACCTACAAACTTGTCACTCAGTGACAAACAACAAATTAAGATTGGATTCAAATTTACTGACTAGGGCTGGTCCAGACGGAGGGTATCTCAAATTCCGCAACTTTCGAGGACGGGGGCCGACCCTATTACTGACCCTAAGTTTATAGACCAGAGAATATCTAGTATAAGGGATCTATACGGATGAGCTTGAGTTATTCATCTCTTTCAATTATTTGAGTAATTCAAGTCACTTTTCTGTACACATATACATATGTCGAATAATTTATTTCAATATGTTGGAATGTCATGATTTTATTGTTGTGAATTTAATAGAATTATTAGAAATAATTTTTTAAATCCAAGAGGGAGAATTGGAAAACGTATATGAAAAACATACAGAGCAAGGATGTGGAGATTGCCCTTCTGGTAAAATCCATTGCAAGACATGCTCAAATAGTTTATGCAACACGAAACAATTTATCGAAACAAATATTTTTATGTGTTATATTCTTGGTAATTTGCGTGGGCTATGCCCTACTGGCTCAGGCGAATGTCATTACGGTGGCTGGGTACGTCATGTCTAATAAAAAATTTATGCACCCAATCAAATTTTTACGCCCATTTATGATGATAAGTTAAGGGTCGATTGGATAGTATAAATGGCGATTGGACGCATAAACTAGATAAGAGGCGTTACTTATGTAGTAAACATCCCACAGCCCAAAATTTTCTTCTCTCTCATTTTCTTATAAAGTTACTGTTGTGTCCATACTCTCAGATAGAACATAACTGAAAGTAAAATTACACATCATGCAGTTGGATGGTGGCACAGTCGGTCGTGCTTCGGTTTGGGTATAGCTACATTTGGGTCAATATATATTTTCATATTTTTTCATTTATTCACCTCACACTACCTTTGGTCCGGTATTGTGTGATGTATTATAATTTTCTGAAGCCTTTTGCATACTCCTTTTTCTTCTTCTTATAAGAACAAAAGGAAAAGTTCAGGGCTTTGGGATGTAAACTACATACACAAGAGACCCAATTATATTATCAGATTAAATTTAATGTTGGATGTGGAAAATGTCCTGAATCCTTTTTATATACGTGTTTTACTTGTAAAACACCATTTTGTAATACACATGTTAATTTGCTTAATACATTTAAATGTGGAGAAAGTATTAACGGAAAATATATTACTAATAAAGCCAGAGACTGCGATGCAAAAAAATGCTTTATTTCTGTCGATCTTCTTAAAGGTACACAATCTAAATGGATTTTTGAGATAATATGTCACCAAACGGATTGAACAAGGGATTTTATAGGTTAAAAAAACTCGGGTTGTTAGTTAAATTAGATTTAGATATTATTAGATTTGGGTATCGAGTATTAGGTTTCGGGTCGGAAAAAGGTCCGGTCCGGGATTCGTTTTTGAGTAACTTGTGACATCCCTGGTTTGACTTGCCCAATGTCTTAAGTAAGTGATGTGTATGGTAGTGATGCTCGGGTATCCCGATCCCGACTCGGGAAAATTTCCCGATTTTTGGCCTCCCGATCCCGACTCCCGGTGTCAATTCCCGACTAAGTCGGGAAATTTTTACACCCCTAAGAATGCCTTTTTTTGATAAAATTCTACATATTTTTGAAGGAAAAAACAAATAAGAAAAGGAAAGGGAAAATAAAAAAGAATACAATACATATTTAATTAGTTTCAATAATAGCCATGTGAACGGTGGTTGAGTGGTTAGTGTGTGTGAATCCACTCATTTTGATGGGGCTGGGTTCGAATCCAGGGTTGGGAAATATGAGTTAAATAATTTTTCCTTCCGAAAATAATTGTTTTTTAACTTTGATTTTGATTTTAAAATTGAAAATTTATTTTTTTAATAATAGTAAACGTGAAAAAAAATTTAGAAAAATTAATTTAGTCATGAATTTTCATAAATTTTAGCCTGTGGCGCAGAAAATGGAAGAAGAATATCTGGCCTCGTAGCCTTCAAACTTAAAAAAATTTTCGCCTGCGGCGCTGAGGGCGGAAAAATTGACTTCTTGGCCTTTCAAATTTAAAAAATTTTCGTATGCGGCGCAGAAAATGGAAGAAATCTGACTTAAGGACCTCCAAAATTCTCAAAATTTTCGCCTGCGGCGCAGACAAAGGATTTCAGATTAAGAGGTCTTAAATTTATTTTACTTGTTTTAAAATTATCCTATATTTTTACGCTTGTTTTAGAGATCGCTTGCCGCGGAAAAAATGTCTTGACCCCTAAAATTCTCACAATTTTCGCCTGCGGCACAAAAATCGGAATTTTTGGTGCCCAAAGCGCCAAAAATTTTTAAAAAATTTTTTATGTAAATTCCCGACTCCCGAGGTCATTTCCCGACCCGACTCCCGTTTCCCGATTCCCGGGTTTTTTCTTCTCCCGAGCATCACTAGTGTATGGGGTTAACTCTCGTTAAATCACGCACAAGTACTGTAGACATAATAAGAGGAGAAGTCGATGATCACCAATTAGATTTATGCGTTTCGACTGTACATAACTTAGGACACAGCAACTTAACCTGCAACCAAGAGCCGTTTCAGTGGCGCTGAAATAAATAAAACATCTTTCTCTTTTTCTTTGCGCTCTATTTTTTCGCATGCTATTTTCCAAAGATTTGAAAAATTTAGCAATCTCGAAAGAATCTTAATTTTTTTAAAAATTTGCTTAATTTAAATCATGAGTCAGAGTCTTATCTTTGGTTTAAAACCAAAATTTAGTTATCTTTGTCATGATTTAAAAAAGGTATGCATGGCTTAATAACCGATTTTAAAAAATGAAAAATAAGGGGAAAAACTTATTTTAAAAAATGTATTCAAATTTTTAATGACAATAGATGTCAATTGCGCAAGATATTATTGAGATTTTCATTCTGAATAGCTCATTTCCGCTGAAAAAATGCGAATCTCCTGAATTTAGTCGGCACTGAAACCGCACTGACCTAGTCGGCACTGAACAGTACTGACTCCCTGGTTGCACCCTCTGCCTATTTTAAGTTGCTGTGTAGGATAGAGCAAGAAATATCTCAAAATATTTAGGAAAATGAATCATTTATTGGGTAAAATATCTCCGTTTTAACAATTTAAAGGTAAAACAGAAGAAGTAGCGTTAGAAAAGTATACAAAGCAAGGATGTGGAGAGTGCCCCAAGGATGCAAAACAATGCAGGACATGCACAAATAATCAATGTAACACTAAAGATTTCTATCAAGAAATGAGATATTGTTGGAAAAATGATAATGAAGTTGTAGAATGCAGTAAAACAGCAAATAAGAAATGCTATTATGCTTATTCCTATGATAAAAAAGGTAGGGGAAAATAAATTAAGGGGAAGATTTATACAAAATTATTTCTGAGCCATCACCGGATAATCTTCAATACTCTAATGAAAGTCAGTTTCAAAACAGGATATCCAGAAATTTCCCAAAATCCAGAGATTTTGCAAACGGATCTCTATGTAAGGCCAAAAGCCAGATTTCTTTCTCATCCGAAAACACTAAAAATCTAGCCTTTCGTCTTTTCTGTCCACTTTTTAAATTGACTTTGGATATACAATGTGCATAAAATCTTGCCCACACTCTTTTTTGCATAAAAATTTAATCAAGTGGAATTTTGCCAAATAAATTCACACATAAGTACCAGGGGTGTGCCGAAAGTCATTTTAAAAAGCGAACGGCGAAAGACGAAAGTCCAAAAAAGGCGAAAATTGGCGAAAGACGAAAGGCGAAACTCGCACACCCCTGATAAGTACAATCAAAAGAATGTGTGTTACAAGAAAATTATTAAAGATTTTCAAAGTTTTACCCATTTGCGGAAATACAATTAAACCGGGGTTCTTTTAGACTATCTGATTCGTTTCGACGAACCTCTACTAATTATTAAAAATAGTTTATCGAGGCTGTGGCGATACACGACCTGCTAACTTGAAAGATGTACCGTTAGTTATCTGTGATAAACAAGTATGCAATACAAAAAAATTATTTGACAATTCATTAATTTGTTTGATTAAAAGAAAAGAAGAAACAAAAAATACTAAAGGAATAAATAAATGTGATCAAGAATGTTTTGTTTATAGACATGGAGATGGAAAATGTATGGAGAATATTTGTTTGATAATAATTTAAAAAATAATTTTAGTAGAACAAGGTTGTGGTAAATGTCCATCCAACAAAGCCAAAGTTTGCAAAACTTGTAAAACTAAATATTGTAATGAAGAAAAGTTAGTCCCAGAATCATGTTGGGAAAACAACGGCAAAACATGTACAAAAACACATGGGGCAAACTGTTTTACTGAGAGAATTCTGAATAATAAATGTTTGAAATAATTTATTGATAGGGTCAGGCATGGGAAGGGATCCGTACTGTATTTTAGAATACCGTCAATAGTCGAAGCATTTTTACTTTACGGGATTTGGGGATCCGTGCGAGTTCCGTTTTATCCGAACTCCTTTGGCTCAATCTAGTTGAGAGATCAAAGGTTCTCTAGTTATCAATTAGGCAGCTCCCATCATCAATGGGCAACAGAAGTTAAAAAAACTAATTGAGAGTATTTACGTTCAAATTTACTATAAAAAATTTAATCGAATACTACACATTAAGTAAACAAGGGTTGTGGTAAATGTGATTCTACGACATGCAAAGACTGTATAGGAAATTTGTGCAATGGCGGAGATAAATTTACATATTATTGTTTGGACAAAGATGGAAGAAGTTTAAAAGAATGTGAAAAACCAGAATGTTTTATTTCTAAAGGTACAAATAATTATTTTAACGGGTCTTGCGAAAGATATTTCTATTAAATTTCTATAATGTAGAGAAACGTTTAAACAATAAGTTAAGGTTATATACAAGAGTATTGTCTTTAGCTTAGAAAATCGGTAAAGGCTAACATTTTGAATCAAGTTTCTTCCTCCCTTCTTCCTTCTTACTCTTTTTTTCTTGTCTTGAACATTATTCTGCCTTTTTTCTTATCGTTATGAAACTAAAAGAAATTTAAATTCATTAAAACACATCCAAAAAGTACTCTCAATTCAGATTCAAAAGCTGGATGTGGAACTTGTGATGAAAAGAAAATTGAAAAGTCATGCGTTGATTGTAAAGATTTAAAATGTAACTCGAAAGAATTGTTGGCTAAAACAATTTTTTGTTATGAAAAAGTGAAAAATGGAAAGACCAATGAGGGGAAAAGGCCCTGTTTGACGAAGAAATGTTTTATATCCTATGACACTAAAATTGGTAATTTTATAGAAGGAAAGGATTCCTGGGAAAATTACAAGGGGAAATTAACGTAAACGGAGGACTACGGTACTATTAATCAAGGTCGGAAATGTCTTAACAAGTCATGGAATGACCAACTCACGGCCCATACCATATCACGGATTTGAGATCAGAATATTTTTCAAATTTCCCTTTTCGCGGATTTTCTCCGTTGGCTTTTTAAATTTATTTTCGCCTTTCGCTGTTTAAAATCTGTTTCAACACACCCGCGTTATACTACGTTTGAACGAAGACGCGTTGAACGAAGTACGTTTGAACGAAGACGTTTGAACGAAAATCTTTTTGGCATTATGTTTAAATATTTTAATTTAAATTTGTCTTTTTCAAAACATAAATCTTTTAGTTGAACAAGGCTGTGGAGATTCGCCCAAAGAAGTTAAGGATATTCAATATGCTGTCTGTGACCAGCCATTATGCAATACAAAAGAATTATTTGACAAAACCTTGTTTTGTTTGGATAAAGGTTGGGATATGAAAAAACACAAGAAGGGCATAAAACAGTGTGATAAAAAATGTTTTGTTAGTAGACATTACCGTGGAGAATGTATGTACATAACAAATAAAAGTTTAAAAATTATATAATTACTATCAAGTGGTGCAAGGCTGTGGAAATTGCCAAAAAGAAGATGCTAGGTATTGCTATACCTGCAAAGAAAATTATTGCAACGAGGAAAAAAATGTTTACCAAAAGTGTGTTGGATTTACCAAAAGTAATCCGACTGATATTTATTACTGTGGTGTTAAATTTGGGGAAGGGTGTTATATGGAGACAATAGAAGGCAGAGGTATTTAAAGAAAGCTTCAATTTTTTACATTTCAATTGTAGCACAAATGGGCTGTGGAAAGTGTAAAAGTGCGGCTTGCATAACGTGCAACACAAATATGTGCAACTATGGAGTTATTTGGACCACTTTTTGTAGGACAAAAGATGGGAATGTTAGATGCATGCATGAAGATAAAATGTGTTACATTGCTTCTTTAGATGAGGGTGGAAAAGGTAAAATTAAATGTTCACTTCGGTTGTCGCGTCGAAATTTTCGCTTCAAATTTGCGGATCAGAGATTTGGGGATCGGATATTTGCGGACTTAGTCTCGTGATTTAGGAAATTTCAAAACGAAATTAGTTAGATAGAATGAATTCTTGCTTCTTGGTTTTATGGTAAGGTCTTTTAAATGATTTCTTTAAAGAAATTTTTCGATCATTGAGATTATGAGATGATTTTAACACAAAAAATTGTTAAAAAAAATTTTTTTTAATCCGGAAAAATCTTGAGTCCGCTATAGAATATTGGTAAACTCTGCCGGAGTCATCGAAAACTTAAATTTTCCCTTTTTTCATTTTAACTCGAGTGATGGGCTTCAAATTTTGGGTCCGAAAAAATCAGGTCCTCAAATTGGAACCGGTTCCAAATGTTTTTTAACAATTGTTGAAAAATTTACTAATTCTCATAAATAAATACATAATATAATAAAATCAACTTTAATTTTATTAAAGTTCCATCAATCGCTCACTTTTTTTCTTTCAACCATCATTAGGAGTGTATCGTTGAACCGGTTCTAAACCGGTTCCGGACCTATGCGTTCCAGACCTTTACTGGTTCCACGTCTCACTTCCGGAACCACACCGGTTCAGGAACCGGAACCCCCGCATCACTGTGTGACAGATATGTTTTCTTGAATTTTTTGAAAATTAAAATTTTTAGTTTTGTTTCGTTTCGCTAAATATTGGCGTTTCGTCTCTTTTTATCAATGAAACGATTTTTATGAAGTTTTGTTTCGTTATATCCAAAAAATTGGATTTTGTGCAGGTATGGTCCCCAAAATATTATAAGCTATATTAGAGACGGGCGCTGGTTATAAACGTCTTACTTTCAAAAAATGAGATAACTTAAGATCAGTGATGTTAAACCGTAACAAAAAATAAATATATTTTCAGTATTCGATTCCGGCTGTGGAAAGTGTGATGTTTTGCATCCTGAAAAGAAGTGTGCAGACTGTAATACTGGTCCAATATGTAATACAGAGGAATTTATCAACAATTCAAAGTTTTGTTTGTGGAAGACTGAAGATACGTCTAAACCTGTTGGAATGAAGAGAGTTTGTAAAGATTCATGTTTTGTATTGAGAGACAAAAATGGAAAAGGTTTGAAGATGAAAATTGGGGAAAGAAAATTGTGGCTTTTCTACTAAATCTCCCAAATCGCTCAGTATCACTCTTACTCCCATGACATAGCTATTAATCCTAGAAATACTTCTTAGTCACTTCTATTTCATTTATAACTTTCCATTAGGACTGAATCGAGGGAAGACTGAACCGATCGAATCAATGTAAGAAACCGAAATTAACTGCTCGGGACATTGGGCACTGATATCAGTTAGATTAATGTATGATCATGTGTTTTTAAGCCATAATAAGTCTTAAAGTCTCAGTGGTCCTAAAATCAGTAGAGTCCATACCGGTGTGCTCCATCTTTGGGGCACATATAAAAGACCGACTAGTGGGAACTGATTTATCGGTGAAACAATATATAAGAATAAGCATATGAATGGGAGGTGACACAGGAAATAGCAATAAATAATAATTAGAGTGTAATGATTGGGAAAATCCATTAACACATAATGCTCGCCCATAAGATCACCTTTGCTTAGGCAATCAACGGATATGCCTTACACTATCACTCTATTTTCAACAAAATTTTTAGTTAAACAAGACTGTGGCAAGTGTCCAAATAACACAGACTGTGTAGAATGTAACACAAAATATTGCAATAAAGAAAGTCTTGCTCCCAAGCAATGTTGGGGTAACAACGGGACTATATGTAAAACATCGTTTGAAACTCCTTGTTTTGTGGAGAGAACGAAGAATAACACAGGCACTGACTAAATAAATTTAAAAAATTTTTAAAAAATATTTTTAAAGAAAACAGAGGATGTGGAAAGTGTAATTCTACTTCGTGTAGAGAATGTCTAGATAATCGCTGTAATAATTGGAAGGATATTTATTATTGTAAAAGCGTTGAAGGAATTAATGGAGCTAAAGAATGCCGTAAAAATGACTGTTATATTTTGAAATTGAATAATAATAATAAAGGTAATATTAATCGAAAAACCCAATCGAAAAACTAAAAAATATAAAAATGGTAAATATAAGTACTGTAAGAAGGAGGGAGATAAAGTAGGGATGCATTAAAATGCTCGAAAGGCATCACTGGTTGAAGCGACATCACTGGTTGAAGCAGCAACCGTTAGCTCACATCAGTCTGTAGAGTATATGTAGCACCCGTACGCTATGGCAAAGGGGTAATTCTTCGGTTCGTACCCCCCACTCTATTTCCTCCCTAAAAGTATTAAAAAATGGTCAGTCAGTCTTAGGTTATAGAACCCGTCGAGCTGAGTCGAATGACACCAAAATCAACGTAATCGGACAGGATTTGACAAAGTTATGACATAAGTCGCCGACTCCGTTAGGTCTACATCATGTCATAACTTTATAAAATTTTGTCCACTCACGTTGATTTTGATGTCATTCGACTCAGCTCGACGAGCTCTTTCAAATGAGCTATTATTCATGTAAATTTTTGTATTTCAAAAAATCGCCCCTGTGGTTGTTCAATTTTCAGGGGTCTGTATCTCAGTCCAATAACCTAAGACTGTGACCATTTTTAATACTTTTAGGGAGGAAAAAACAGTGGGGGGTACGAACCAAAGAATTACCTGGCAAAGGCGTCTGTTAAACCTTACAAGAGTTTGCAGGATCGATGCCTGACCTAACTTTTACCTCGCTCTTACCATAAAGCTTGTATTTTTCAGTCAAAAATCTTAATGAATTCTATTACAACTGTGGAAAGTGTCCAGTCAACAACGAATTCTTTAAAAATACATCTAATTTATCCCTCTCCAAAAGATTGAATGGAATAAATTTAAGTGGAATTCAATGCGCAGAATGCAATAAGGGTCCTTTGTGTAATAATGAAAAGTTTTTTGAGAAGCAAGTGTTTTGTTGGGAGAAGTCGGAGAATGAAACAAAAATAAATAAAGGGGCAAGAGTTTGTAGAGATAAATGTTTTGTTTCGAGGAATTTTACAACTGGGAATGGTAGGGAATTAGTATTTACAATTATCCTCACATATAAGATGCACTCAATCTAGTGGATAAACCTCTAGCTAAGGGACGTTTCCAATAGTAAATTATTAATTAGAGGGGCCAGCCCTAAATAAGAGAGATGTTGATTATGCGTGCGGTGAATAGAATCCCAGAGGTAGTGCAAGCTAGCGGGGTGAATGATTATTGGTTAACCACTTGGTCAGGCTTATAGCCGAACGAACACTAAGCCATTGATTAATGAAGAACTAAGTTGGAATGAACATCAACTAAGCTGCTTTTCCCTATTTTCCTTTAGCTTATATGCACCTTCTCTCTAGGCGGGGTTTCTATCACTTTCTCAAGGATTACACCTTTGATCCTTACAGAGTTTT